AAATTAGTTTGTACTAACTAACTATTTAAGACTTTTTTGTTATAAAAAGGGTCATGTCTTGCACACATCCATAGTATTTGTTAGAATATGATGCATTCATTACTCCATATGTTTGAGTTATAGCATTTATTGATACCTTATACCAATTCTTAGCAGAAAGCTACCACAGAGGAGGAGAAGGAAGAGCGAGCTAAGAGAATTTCCCTCGAGTTGAGCAGCAAAAGTCTGCGGCGGCGAATCCAGTGAGTATTACACATTTTTCTAACATCTTGAATTTTAAAACTAAATTTCACACACATATTTTTTTCAAGCTACCAGAAGTTTACTCGAGCGAAAGACACATCAAACTATACTGAAAATGATCGTGCTGCCATACTTGGCATTGTACACAAACCGGCAATGGAGAGTCCCACGAAAGAAGAGGCAAAGAAGGAGGATTTGCCTGTGAAAGAAGAGGAGTCGCGTGATGTGCCTAAATCGAATACGACTGTGAGCACAATGTCCGTGGGCGAGTACTTTGCTGCAAAAATGGCAGCACTGAAGGCGAAGCGTGAACAAGGAATGGAAGAAATGATAGTGAGTCCGTTACTGCCCATTCACTCCACAGCTATTTCCAACTTTAGGTGTATTCAAAGCGTTCAGGTTGATGTCGATGTTAAGAACGAAGAGGCTGTGGTCAAGGAAGAGATTACACAAGAGGAAACAGAAGAAGAGAGAAAAGACAGAAAGAAGAAGAGAAAAGAGATGAGAAAACTGCGCGAGTCCGTGCAATACAAGACACCAACAGAATCTTGCGAAGTGAAGGTCGAAATTGCTGAAGAAGAAGAGACTGTGAAAAATGACGAAGAAGAACGGAAGCGAAGAAAAAGAGAGAAGAAATTGAAAAGAAGACAGGAGAGAGAAAGAGTAGAGGAGGTGGGAGTAAACTTTCTTGCGTTATGAAGGTATTATGATTTATCTGTTATAGAACATTTATCTATATTTTGCGCATTTTGTAAATTTCTTTAAGGAACATGCTTTGCGAAATATGTTATTAAGTGAGAAATTCTTGCTTGAACTCTTTCGCATTGTGACCACAGTCATCCGAAGTTTTGGGTATTGTGCGAGAGTTTATGGAAGTTGTTCAATTTGATTATTTCCGTTAATTTTCTCGATTATATATTCTTGAAATTTTATGACTAACTCTGACATCATAAGAGAGAGGATCTGGTGACATAGTCCTCTAATGAGAATAAGTTTCTCAGTTATAGTTTTAGGAAGAAATTCGCTTGAACTTGTTTCAATTTCTGAGAATAGTACCGTCTCTTTAGAATTAGCTACCTATGGCAACAATCGTACAGAGAGTTTTGTTTACTGAATAACTTAAACACTTTAGAAATTTCAGCGGGTTCACAGTATCTAAAGAAAGAATTTTGGGTGAATGTTCTGAAAAGTTCTGGATAATGGGTTATAGAGATTCATAGAGTCGTATGGGAATAAGCTTCCATCTATGTACTGTCTTCATCTACCGCTTCATTTGACCAGTAGTGCTACCATTGTTGGTGAAATATTCGTAAAGATAAAAAGCAGATCTTTCATCAAATGATTTTTTTAAGCAAAACTTTCTCAAGCTTTACAGTAAGAATTAGATCTTTGCATAGGAGAAAGTAAATGTTATTTCTGTCTATTTAATTTTTCCCGGATTACAACTATATGATTTAAGCAAATCTAATTCACTTGTAAATCCAAAGTGTATAACAGGTTGTATAAATTTGTTCTATCTGAGAAGATGAGAGACATCACATTTAGAGGCCAGTAGCCATATTTACTTTTGGAAACCGTATACTCTAATAGAGGCGATGCGGGTAAGATAATAACTCCTTTAATTTTAGGAAGATATGAAGCAAATCAAAATTGAAGTTTGTGAAGAAGAAGATGAGCTTGAGAAGGAAGGAAAGAAGAAAAAGAAGGACAAACAATTTGTGGAAGAAACTCGTGGGGCCTTTTTTGGTATTACTTAACCAAAACATGATGATTATTTTTACGACTGGATGACTCAAAATTACTAGTTATAGATGAAGCAGTTTCCAATGGAGAATCGGTGCTCAAAAAGAAGAAGAAAAAGAGTAGAAAAAATAGACAGGAGGATGAGTAGATGTTATTGTTCCTTTGAGACTTGTTGTTGTGAGCTTGTTATTGTTGTATATGGCCTTTTTGGCTGAGGGTTGTTTTACGAACTTAAATGA